AAATCAGGCAGAACAAAATCATCTGGTGAGGGTAGGAAGGAGAACCATTCCCCTTGCACTGCACACATCCCACACAAAATCCTACCCAGGAGCTCTTTCATGGTTGAATGACGACGCTTGCTCGAAGGCATATCTCTCTTCTCAAGCCCTTTTCTGGGCCTGCCGTTGCTCATTCAGTGTCTTCCAAGGCTTCTTTGTCGCCGGTTCGCTCGGCGTTTCCAGGACGAGTTAAACTTGTTGTTCGTGCTTCTGCTAGAAGTCCCGTCGTCATGGCGTTCGAGAAGATCGTTGTCGCGAATCCCGTCGTCGAGATGGACGGTACGAGATTAGATATAGTCGTGGCAAACTTCTAGCAATTAGGCTGTACGCGTGGATTCTTGGAAAGATTTAAATCCACATCTACAATCGCGCGCGATTCGTTGACTGCAGGTGATGAAATGACGCGGATAATTTGGGAGATGATCAAGGAGAAGGTGAGTCATAAACCCTAGACCGCTAGTTGGTGGCTGCTTTCATACAATTGATCAACTAACTGTCGGTTTCCGTTATTCCCTTTGACAGTTGATCCTTCCTTTCCTAGAGCTCGACATCAAGTACTTCGATCTTGGCCTGCCTCATCGCGATGAGACTGATGACAAGGTCACCGTTGACGCCGCAGAGGCGACTCTCAAGTGAGCGTTCTTTTCGAAGATGCGTTCAGCTTTGTGAATGACGCCGATTATAAGCAGTGCATTTTTGTTTCCAGACTTGGCTCGTTGCTTATCTCCAAATGTAACACCCTGTTTCTTTTCTTCATTGTGTTAACCATGAATTCCAGGTACAACGTGGCCATTAAGTGCGCGACCATCACTCCAGGTACGGTGTAGCTTCATGTATTCGATTTCGTGATATTGCGTAAGCTTTTTCACCCTCAATCGACATGTGTTATAATCCGGTTATGCCTTTCAGATGAGGCACGCGTGAAGGAATTCACCCTGAAGAAGATGTGGAGGAGCCCTAATGGCACAATTCGTAACATTTTGAACGGTACGATTGGGTAGGGTGCATCTTTCGAGCCCAATTTCCGACTTGTTGTGTGCATGAGAGCTCCTGCTTTGCGTATTGATGAAACTGTCCATTGCTCATCTTCGCTCGGCATTACCGAACCTCTTTGATTATTTCCGCAGGGACTGTATTCCGTGAACCCATTCTGATGTCCAACATCCCTCGGCTTGTGCCTTGTAAGCAGTCAGCTCCATCATTGGTCATTGGTCGTACGACATCGTTATCCACAGGGTTTCTGGTCTTCTGGTATTCTCTCAACCCTGCATCCTAAGTTGTTTGCTTTGGCTTAATTGGCAGCATGGAAGAAGCCCATCACCATTGGCCGTCACGCTTTCGGCGACCAGTACAGGGCCACTGATCTTGTGATCCCTGGACCTGGAAAGCTCAAGCTGGTGTACGGTACGTTTCAATTGTGAACAATTAATCAACTTGAAAAAGAAAAGAAGGAACGATATTGCATGACCAGATGATTAATGGAATCGTCAAGTCCTATCTTTGTACCTCCGCAGAGAGGGAGGGAGGTGAGCCAGAGGTGCATGAGGTCTACGACTTCAAGGGCGCTGGCGGTGTTGCTCTTGCCATGTACAACACGGACGAGGTAAGCACCGGTGCTGCGCAAAGCACCAGGACTGCCTCTGAAATCGCGTTTTCTATCTCGTCGATTGTTTTCTCTCCTGCTGATATGACCGAGCGTTTTGTTCTCCTGACAGTCGATCAGGGCGTTTGCCGAGTCTTCCATGGCTCTGGCCTATGAGAAGAAGTGGCCGCTGTACCTTAGCACCAAGAACACCATTCTGAAGAAATACGATGGAAGGTAAGTGATTTCGTGCGACTGTTGGTGGTCCCAATTCAGTAGCTCTACAGACCTGGCAGCGTCCTGCCAGCGTCCTGCTACAAGCAGCCAAGCTAATTGCAATGCGTCTGTGGCTGTGTAGGTTCAAGGACATCTTCCAGGAGGTTTATGAGAAGGAGTGGAAGGCCAAGTTTGAGGCGGAGAACATCTGGTACGAGCACCGCCTCATTGACGACATGGTTGCGTACTGCATGAAGAGCGACGGCGGATATGTGTGGGCGTGCAAGAACTACGATGGAGACGTGCAGAGCGACATGCTTGCTCAAGGTACGACGAGATTCACTCATTTTGATATTTTTCCCATCTCGTGAGGCATGCATATTGCTTGTTGCGGTGCCTCGGACGCCTTTTGAATGTTCCAGCGCGTTTTTGTGCGGTTTACCATGAGATATTCTGTCACTGACGGTCGTGGCTGTCTCTGATTGCAGGGTTTGGGTCCCTGGGGTTGATGACCAGTGTGTTGGTGTGTCCGGATGGCAAAACCATTGAGGCAGAGGCTGCTCACGGTACTGTGACGCGCCACTTCCGCGTGCACCAGAAGGGCGGCGAGACCAGCACCAACAGCATCGCCTCCATCTTCGCCTGGACCCGTGGCCTCGCCCACAGGTGCTGCTAACACGCCCCTGCTCTCGTTCCTGCTGGACACTGTATAGCCGTTGGTGTTTCTTGGCTCCATGCCCCTGTGCTTTCTTGCAGTCTGTTCCCGAATTTGACTCCCTTATCCTGTGAGCCGCGTTCGCCCGTAACGGCCCTTGATTCTGATATGCTCTGCCATTTTTCTGCCATTCCTCTTTGCTCTTTACCCCAGGGCCAAGCTGGACGAGAATGCGAAGCTGGCGGATTTCTGCAACAAGCTGGAGGCAGCGTGCGTGTCCACAGTGGAGAGTGGCAAGATGACCAAGGATCTCGCTCTCATCATCCACGGGTCCAAGTGAGTTCACACCCGCTGCTCTGCGTCTTCTGCCCCACAGTTCCGTCTGCCCCACAGTTCCGTCTGCCCCACAGTTCCGTCTGCCCCACAGTTCCGTCTGCCCCACAGTTCCCTTTGCCCTACAACCTCTCTGCCCTCTTGATTCCTCGCAACAGTACCTGAACCTCAAACCTTCAACCCAAAACCTCCCTCTCGGCCTCTTTAGTCTAACAACCTACCCAAGTACTCTCTCTGGCTCTTGTTCCGCAGCACTGCTCCTAAATCCCCTTTTGAACGTCCCTCTCAACCTCCCTCCTTATGCATGTCCCTTTCTATGTCTTACCGGTATGTCCCCTTCCCACTAACCCACGTTTAGCCGCCCACCCTCCCTGCCATACCCCGTCCCATATCCTTCTCATACAGTTTTCTTTCCGTGTTACATACGGTATTCATACATGCATATGCTGCAATGGCTGAACTTTGGTATGTGCTTATGGGTGATGCATAATCTCCATTTTCTGTGTCCCGTGTTGTGCAGTGTGGCTCGCAAGGACTACCTCAACACCCAGGAGTTCATCGAAGCTGTTGCTGAGAAGCTTAAGGAGTCTCTTGGTTAGAAATTCCTAAGCGGAATCGGAACAACGGCTTGTTACAGAAAGCAAGGGAGTTGGTTAAAAAGCTGCAACTAATGGTTTGGGGGGACAGGAAGGCACTGGTTTGTACTGTGTTTTTGATAGCTTTGGCCTTGCTCTAAGCTTCCTCACATACATAGTTTGTGTCTGGATTTAGAAACTGGTGCAGTACCTGTCATCGGGGAAGTGAGTGGTGCAGCTGGTGGTTTTCCCCACAGTTAGTCTGTTTAGAAACTAGAATCAGGCTGAGCAGCATCTGGAAACAAGCAGCAATTTTCACAGCCATGGGGAAGTGAGTGGTGCAGTTGGTGGTTTTCCAACTAGAATATTCCTGAAGCAAAACAAGTTAACTGTATGTGTCATCGGTACACTCGCTACCGAGCATTTTTGTAAGGAATTACAGAATCCTTACTGAGGCACTCGTTAGCGAGGCCATCCCGAGGGTCACGCGACGAACCTGTCCTTCCTATTTCGTCGCACCGAACCACCCCCGAGTCGCCTCCGCACCAATCGCATCCATCACCGAACCATCCTCGCCCAACCTCCCCGCCGCTAGGACTTCCCCTATTTAGGCCTCGTCACTTCCATTGTATCGTCATTCAGTAATTCAGTAATTTCCATTCTCGTTATTCGTTTTACTGCGCACTCTGCAAGTTCATTCATAACAATTTTCATGTACTTCCTGGAAACTCGTGCTGGTACCTTGCCGTGCAGCTTCGACAACCGCCCCATGTCGGCACGCCTCACGGACCATTAGGGATCTGGTGGCTTGGTTCGAGTCCGGTTCGGATGTCAGTATGATTAATGGGTGCGATGCGGTATGATCGACGGAAACGGGAGTTCCAGGAGGAACGAAACAAACATGCTAAATACGTAGCTGCTGCTGGGTGTCAGACTGGGTGTTTCATTTTTCTAGTTTCAAGATTTGGCAAGTGGATGCAGTACACACCCATCTCGACGGCTAGTTGGTTCATTCCTCACTGTTTTCAAATTCAGATCGGAACGCGGAGTTACGTACCATAGAAGCTCGCGATTCGCTTCGTGTCGCGCGTTCCTTGCTATAGAACAGCAGCTTTCTTGACGTCGCCACGCCCGTAAGATGCCTGCCGTTTGATCGCGCGCTCGCTGCTCGTCGAGACCGTGGGGCATGCGACTAGCTGACCTCGCTTCGCGCGCTTTGCTGACCGTCGTATCGTCGTAGGTCTTGCGCTGCTGTTGGCGCTTGTCCTGTTCTTCAAAGATAGGATTCTCACGATCCATCACGCCAAAGATCCTTTTCCTGGCCTACCAAGTGGAATGTCTCGGCTTCAACGTGCCGCGTCTCGCCAAGGTCTAGGGAATAGGCGATAAGCCCAATTGCATTGCAACGGTCGTTTCGTGGAGCAACTAGAGAGCCTTCGTATCGGCGGGCAGCGAGCAACGCGCTTGTTCACCTCTCACCTCGCTCTCTCGCTCCTCGTATCGCCCACATCGTCTCGCGTTCTCATCCAGCGTCCCGCCGGCCTCTAGTTTTGAGTGGATCCATAATCTATACTCGTCCATCCTCCATCCTCTGTTCTCTATGGACGAGCCTGTGTCGGCCGTGTCGGCCGCGCTGTCCTGTGCGGCACCCGCGTCGCCGTCGTCATCGGCGGCGGCGGCGGCGGCGTGGGTGGGACCAGCGGCATGGGTGGGATTCTCGTGCGCGCTCGCGCTCTTCATGGCGGCGCGAGGGTTCAGGAAGCGGTCGCTCTCCTCATCCGGCGCTGCAGCGGCGTTCGTCGTGGGATCGCTCACCATGACCGCCGGCGCCAGGTGCGCTGCGGGGGCTACGTGCGCAGGGGGGAGCAGGTGCGCAGCTACGTGCGCAGGGGGAGCCAGGTGCGCCGGGGTTTGCGCTCTGCGTGTGTTGAGACGACTGAAAATGCTTGAGAAACTTTCGAAACTGGATCGCGCACTATGACTGCTGGGGCCAGCCAGCCGCGCTGCGTGCTCGATTCAGGGCTGGTAGGATTGCGGAAGGATCGCGGGATTCCCGGCTGATAGAATCGTGTGAACAGGTCGTATGAAGTATCGTTGCCCCTCTCCTTCTTTTAAGGCCGACCTTCCACTTTCCCCACCTCCCCGTTCGCTCCGTTCCCCATTCCCCCCCTTTCTCGTCGTTCCCATTCGCGCCGTGCGCGCGCGGCGGCAGGTTCGGCGTGACGCTGATCGCCTTCTTCCTGTCGTCGTCAAAGCTGACGCGGCTCGGCGCGCAGCACAAGCGCCGCGTGGAGGAGCGCTTCAAGGAAGGAGGCCAGCGCGACGGGTGAGCGGAGAGATGTGGGGATAGGTTGGGTTCGATGCGGTTGAGCGTGGTGAGGTGGGGTGTGGCGTGGCTCAGCTTGGCGCACAGCACAAGCGGCGCGTGGAGGAGTGCTTCAAGGAGGGCGGTCAACGCGACGGGTGAGCAGGCGGGGGAGGGTGGGGGAGAAAAAAAGTGGGAGTGGCAGCGAGCGGAGGGACGCGGGTGTGGGTTGGGATTCGGTGCGGTTGGGCGTGGTGGTGGGTCCCGTGGAGGGCTGTTTCATGGACGGGCGGGTAGCGGGAGCTGGATGGGAGCAGGGAGGGGTTGGGTAGTGAAGGGGAGATGTGGGATGGGCTGATGTGAGTGAGTGGCATCGGGGTGTGTGTGACTGAGCAACAGCATCGCCGCCGCCACCACCGTGGCACCAACTCTTTAATCCCTCCCCCCTCTGCTACTCCACCATTCCCCAGATGCCAGGTGCTGAGCAACAGCATCGCCGCCACCACTGCTCTTCCTGCTGCATCATGCACCGTGGCAACTATCGTGCCAACCGACCATGTGCATCCCCTGCCTCCCCTTGCCCCGCCCCCTCTCCCCCTCTTCTTCCAGATGCCAGGTGCTGAGCAACAGCATCGCCGCTACCACTGCTCTTCCTGCTGCATCATGCGCCGTGGCAACTATCGTGCCAACCAACCAACCATGTGCATCCCCTGCATCACCTTGCCCCGCCCCCCTTCCCCTTTCGTCAGATGGCAGGTGCTGAGCAACAGCATCGCCGCTACCACCGTGGCTCTGCTCTTTCTGTTGCTCGTTCTCTCTCCTGGCAGCTTCCCTGGTGTGAGCTGGCCTGGCTCCAGGGGCGGCGGGTTTACCAGCGGCATCAGCAGCAGTGGCATTACAAGCAGCAGCAGCAGCAACAGCAGCAGCAGCAGCAGCAGCAGCCAGTGCGGTAGCAGCAGTGTTTCTAAACCACCAGGGCAGTGGTTGGAAGAGGGGGGAGCGGCAAGCGGAGCAAATGAGGGGGGGAGCGGAGGAGGGTGGGGCAGAGAAGGGGGATGGGGATGGCAGGACAGGTGTTGGGAGAGTGGGGGAGGGGAGCAGCAGCGGTGGGAGCGCATGTTATTAGCTGCGTTCCTAGCACACTATGCAGCCTGTGCTGGGGACACATGGTCGTCTGAGATTGGTGTGCTCAGCAAGAAGCCTCCCCTCCTCATCACCACGCTACAGGTATGCTCCCTTTGTCTCTGTTGCTCTCCTGAACTCCATCTACTGTCGACCCTCCTCCCCTCTGCACCCCCTTAAGCAAGAAGCTTCCCCTCCTCATCACCACTCTGCAGGTACGCTCTCTTTGTCTCTCTTTGTCTTTCCTGAACTCCATCTCGCCCCTCCTCCCCTCCCCAACCCCTTAGCAAGAAGCCCCCCTGCCTTATCACCACTCTGTAGGTATGCTCTCTTGCTCTCCTGATCTCCCTCTACCCCCCTTGCACTCCCTTCCCTCCCTCCCTCCCTCCCTCCCTCCTTCCCTCCATCCCACCCACCCACCCACCCTTTCTCCTTCCCTGTTTACAGCACACACTTACCCCAACCCCCTCGCTCTCTCCTCCCCTTTCCCCCCTGCACTCCTCTTTCCCTTCCTGCTCTCCCCTTCCCTTCCCCTTTCCATGCCCTGTGTTTCAATCGGCCCAACCAGCAAGTGCCTCGGGGCACGAACGGGGGAGTGTCACTCATGGGTCTAGGGGCGGCAGCAGCAGGGGGGGCGTTCATGGGTGCTGTATTCCTTACCTCTGGCCTCCTCTGCTCTCCCCTTCCCCCTCCACCCCCAATCCGTCCAACCAGCAAGTGCCTCAAGGCACGAACGGGGGAGTGTCTCTGATGGGTCTAGGGGCGGCAGCAGCAGGGGGAGCGTTCATGGGAGCTGTGTTTCTTGCCTCGGGTCTCCTCTCCACTGCCCTCTGCTCCTCCAACCTCGCTGCTCCTTCTCCTCCATTTCGTGATGCCACTGTCACTCCCTTGCAATGGTCCAGCAAGCTTACAGAATGTAGTGTTAACTCCTCTTCCTCTTCCTCCTCTTCCTCCTCCTTCTCCAATTCACTGGATTCGCTGGAAGATGCTTCTAGTGCGGGCCTGGTTGCTGGTTCTGCTAGTGCTGCTGCCGGTGCTGGGAGTGAAAGACGAGAGCAGAGTGAGGGGCGAGAGGGGAGAAGAGGACATGAGAGTGAGCCGCAGAGTGCAGAGAGGAACGAGCAGCAGCAGCAGCAGCAGGAACAGCAGCAGCAGCAGCAGGAACAGCAGCAGCAGCAGCAGGAGCAGGAGCAGCACCATCAGCAAAAGCAACAGCAGGGACAGCAAAGACAGCAGCAGCAGCAGCTGGTGTGGCTGCAGGTGCTAGCGGTGCCGCTGGGGCTAGCAGCAGGGCTGCTGGGCTCGCTGTTGGACTCGCTCCTGGGTGCCACACTGCAGTATAGCGGGTTTTGCCAAGTCAGGAAAAAGGTGAGCACCTAGGAGTGTCCTGTGGCTGCTGCTGCTGCTGCTGCTGCTTTTGAGAGGAGTAAGAACGAAGCACCACATCATTTATGCCGTCTCGCTAGGGACAGGCAGCAGCAGGTCTGCTGGGTTTGCTTCTGGACTCGCTCCTGGGTGCCACGTCGCAGTACAGCGGGTTCTGGCAAGTCAGAAAAATGGTGAGCACCCACCCACGACTGGCCTGTGGCTCCTTTTGGACCTGTGCTTCCTTGCGAGGCTGATTGAGTGTCCCATGCTCATTGCGTATCTCATGATCTGCACGTGCCATGCCATGTCCCATGCTCCTTGTGTCTCTCATGCTTTGCACGTGCCATGCCATGTCCCATGCTCCTTGTGTCTCTCATGCTTTGCACGTGCCATGCCATGTCCCATGCTCCTTGTGTCTCTCATGCTTTGCACGTGCCATGCCATGTCCCATGCTCCTTGTGTCTCTCATGATCTGCACGTGCCATGCCATGTCCCATGCTCCTTGTGTCTCTCATGATCTGCACGTGCCATGCCATGTCCCATGCTCCTTGTGTCTCTCATGCTTTGCACGTGCCATGCCATGTCCCATGCTCCTTGTGTCTCTCATGCTTTGCACGTGCCATGCCATGTCCCATGCTCCTTGTGTCTCTCATGCTTTGCACGTGCCATGCCATGTCCCATGCTCCTTGTGTCTCTCATGCTTTGCACGTGCCATGCCATGTCCCATGCTCCTTGTGTCTCTCATGATCTGCACGTGCCATGCCATGTCCCATGCTCCTTGTGTCTCTCATGCTTTGCACGTGCCATGCCATGTCCCATGCTCCTTGTGTCTCTCATGCTTTGCACGTGCCATGCCATGTCCCATGCTCCTTGTGTCTCTCATGCTTTGCACGTGCCATGCCATGTCCCATGCTCCTTGTGTCTCTCATGCTTTGCACGTGCCATGCCATGTCCCATGCTCCTTGTGTCTCTCATGCTTTGCACGTGCCATGCCATGTCCCATGCTCCTTGTGTCTCTCATGCTTTGCACGTGCCATGCCATGTCCCATGCTCCTTGTGTCTCTCATGCTTTGCACGTGCCATGCCATGTCCCATGCTCCTTGTGTCTCTCATGCTTTGCACGTGCCATGCCATGTCCCATGCTCCTTGTGTCTCTCATGCTTTGCACGTGCCATGCCATGTCCCATGCTCCTTGTGTCTCTCATGCTTTGCACGTGCCATGCCATGTCCCATGCTCCTTGTGTCTCTCATGCTTTGCACGTGCCATGCCATGTCCCATGCTCCTTGTGTCTCTCATGCTTTGCACGTGCCATGCCATGTCCCATGCTCCTTGTGTCTCTCATGCTTTGCACGTGCCATGCCATGTCCCATGCTCCTTGTGTCTCTCATGCTTTGCACGTGCCATGCCATGTCCCATGCTCCTTGTGTCTCTCATGCTTTGCACGTGCCATGCCATGTCCCATGCTCCTTGTGTCTCTCATGCTTTGCACGTGCCATGCCATGTCCCATGCTCCTTGTGTCTCTCATGCTTTGCACGTGCCATGCCATGTCCCATGCTCCTTGTGTCTCTCATGCTTTGCACGTGCCATGCCATGTCCCATGCTCCTTGTGTCTCTCATGCTTTGCACGTGCCATGCCATGTCCCATGCTCCTTGTGTCTCTCATGCTTTGCACGTGCCATGCCATGTCCCATGCTCCTTGTGTCTCTCATGCTTTGCACGTGCCATGCCATGTCCCATGCTCCTTGTGTCTCTCATGCTTTGCACGTGCCATGCCATGTCCCATGCTCCTTGTGTCTCTCATGCTTTGCACGTGCCATGCCATGTCCCATGCTCCTTGTGTCTCTCATGCTTTGCACGTGCCATGCCATGTCCCATGCTCCTTGTGTCTCTCATGCTTTGCACGTGCCATGCCATGTCCCATGCTCCTTGTGTCTCTCATGCTTTGCACGTGCCATGCCATGTCCCATGCTCCTTGTGTCTCTCATGCTTTGCACGTGCCATGCCATGTCCCATGCTCCTTGTGTCTCTCATGCTTTGCACGTGCCATGCCATGTCCCATGCTCCTTGTGTCTCTCATGCTTTGCACGTGCCATGCCATGTCCCATGCTCCTTGTGTCTCTCATGCTTTGCACGTGCCATGCCATGTCCCATGCTCCTTGTGTCTCTCATGCTTTGCACGTGCCATGCCATGTCCCATGCTCCTTGTGTCTCTCATGCTTTGCACGTGCCATGCCATGTCCCATGCTCCTTGTGTCTCTCATGCTTTGCACGTGCCATGCCATGTCCCATGCTCCTTGTGTCTCTCATGCTTTGCACGTGCCATGCCATGTCCCATGCTCCTTGTGTCTCTCATGCTTTGCACGTGCCATGCCATGTCCCATGCTCCTTGTGTCTCTCATGCTTTGCACGTGCCATGCCATGTCCCATGCTCCTTGTGTCTCTCATGCTTTGCACGTGCCATGCCATGTCCCATGCTCCTTGTGTCTCTCATGCTTTGCACGTGCCATGCCATGTCCCATGCTCCTTGTGTCTCTCATGCTTTGCACGTGCCATGCCATGTCCCATGCTCCTTGTGTCTCTCATGCTTTGCACGTGCCATGCCATGTCCCATGCTCCTTGTGTCTCTCATGCTTTGCACGTGCCATGCCATGTCCCATGCTCCTTGTGTCTCTCATGCTTTGCACGTGCCATGCCATGTCCCATGCTCCTTGTGTCTCTCATGCTTTGCACGTGCCATGCCATGTCCCATGCTCCTTGTGTCTCTCATGCTTTGCACGTGCCATGCCATGTCCCATGCTCCTTGTGTCTCTCATGCTTTGCACGTGCCATGCCATGTCCCATGCTCCTTGTGTCTCTCATGCTTTGCACGTGCCATGCCATGTCCCATGCTCCTTGTGTCTCTCATGCTTTGCACGTGCCATGCCATGTCCCATGCTCCTTGTGTCTCTCATGCTTTGCACGTGCCATGCCATGTCCCATGCTCCTTGTGTCTCTCATGCTTTGCACGTGCCATGCCATGTCCCATGCTCCTTGTGTCTCTCATGCTTTGCACGTGCCATGCCATGTCCCATGCTCCTTGTGTCTCTCATGCTTTGCACGTGCCATGCCATGTCCCATGCTCCTTGTGTCTCTCATGCTTTGCACGTGCCATGCCATGTCCCATGCTCCTTGTGTCTCTCATGCTTTGCACGTGCCATGCCATGTCCCATGCTCCTTGTGTCTCTCATGCTTTGCACGTGCCATGCCATGTCCCATGCTCCTTGTGTCTCTCATGCTTTGCACGTGCCATGCCATGTCCCATGCTCCTTGTGTCTCTCATGCTTTGCACGTGCCATGCCATGTCCCATGCTCCTTGTGTCTCTCATGCTTTGCACGTGCCATGCCATGTCCCATGCTCCTTGTGTCTCTCATGCTTTGCACGTGCCATGCCATGTCCCATGCTCCTTGTGTCTCTCATGCTTTGCACGTGCCATGCCATGTCCCATGCTCCTTGTGTCTCTCATGCTTTGCACGTGCCATGCCATGTCCCATGCTCCTTGTGTCTCTCATGCTTTGCACGTGCCATGCCATGTCCCATGCTCCTTGTGTCTCTCATGCTTTGCACGTGCCATGCCATGTCCCATGCTCCTTGTGTCTCTCATGCTTTGCACGTGCCATGCCATGTCCCATGCTCCTTGTGTCTCTCATGCTTTGCACGTGCCATGCCATGTCCCATGCTCCTTGTGTCTCTCATGCTTTGCACGTGCCATGCCATGTCCCATGCTCCTTGTGTCTCTCATGCTTTGCACGTGCCATGCCATGTCCCATGCTCCTTGTGTCTCTCATGCTTTGCACGTGCCATGCCATGTCCCATGCTCCTTGTGTCTCTCATGCTTTGCACGTGCCATGCCATGTCCCATGCTCCTTGTGTCTCTCATGCTTTGCACGTGCCATGCCATGTCCCATGCTCCTTGTGTCTCTCATGCTTTGCACGTGCCATGCCATGTCCCATGCTCCTTGTGTCTCTCATGCTTTGCACGTGCCATGCCATGTCCCATGCTCCTTGTGTCTCTCATGCTTTGCACGTGCCATGCCATGTCCCATGCTCCTTGTGTCTCTCATGCTTTGCACGTGCCATGCCATGTCCCATGCTCCTTGTGTCTCTCATGCTTTGCACGTGCCATGCCATGTCCCATGCTCCTTGTGTCTCTCATGCTTTGCACGTGCCATGCCATGTCCCATGCTCCTTGTGTCTCTCATGCTTTGCACGTGCCATGCCATGTCCCATGCTCCTTGTGTCTCTCATGCTTTGCACGTGCCATGCCATGTCCCATGCTCCTTGTGTCTCTCATGCTTTGCACGTGCCATGCCATGTCCCATGCTCCTTGTGTCTCTCATGCTT